AGGCCCAGGTCAGGTAACTAACTTGCTTCAGGGTCACTCAGCTATCTCAGGCAGCATACAGGGAGCCCCCAGCCAAGACACCTGATTTGGGAAGATCAGGGAAGGTTTTCAGAACTGTATGAAACTGAGAGCAGAGGATGAAGAATTAGCCAGAGAGGTAACGGAACGATGTGCCAGGCAAGAAGCTGGAAAGGAACCAGCCGGAGATAATACTGCTGGCCCGCTCCCCACGCAGTGTTAAAGCTTATCTCCAGCGGGAAAATATTTACCTTCTTTGCTAGGACTCTGCTCCTGCTTCCAGGAGCGTCTAGTCTGTTTCATCAGAGATCAAAGCCTTTGCGCTTTCTCCTTCAGCTTTTCCATCAGACGTGACAGCTAACTTCAAAGATAACTGAGCCTCTGGTTTCTGAAGGTCAGCTCACATTTCTTAGTCTGTAAATTTCTAAAACTGGAACCCATCTTTCTTTCCTACTGTGCTTAGCATAGTGGCTTACTAAATAGTCACTAAATAAATAAATAAACAGAGGGCATCATTTAGCTCAGAAACAAAGTACAGCATCCAAAAGTCTTAATGGTTTATTTGGGTCCTTCGAAAGGCTAGGGCTTATTCTCATCGTTTAGCACTGTATTTGTACCATTTATCACAAATTTTCTATCATCCTTCAACTAAAATATATATGCTATGTATATAACACAGATGTACATACAAATATATGAATGCTGTATGTTTTTATGCCTGGTAAAAGTGAGGGCAAATCTTCAGAGATAAAATCACACACACAACTCCTATCAAACACTCAGAGATGCGTTCCGAATGGCCTCAGCGGCTTATCCAGGCAGATGTGGTCTCCGAACCCTACCTCCCCATCAAAGCTATCTCAGCAGATGCTGATTTAACTGCACTCAGAACAGCTCTACGCACTAATACTTTTTATAAAGCTTCTCAGGTGACTGTACCGTGACACTATCACGGAGAGCCACTAAGTGAGAACAATGCGACTTTTTACCAGACAGTGGGTAAGATGAACCAAGATGGCTCCAAGGGGCAAGAAAGTCCTCAGCCCTTAGAGTGGGGCCAAGGTGGGGAAAGAGGGCAGCTTTTCACGTAACCTTCCTTTACTCGCCCCCAGGATCTCTGAGCTCTGCTGGGAGAACCAGACATGTGGCTCATCCCAGGGAGGTAGTAAATGACCAGGGATACACTCTAACCTCATAGCCTTGAGTCACACCTCCCTGCAGACCCAGAGCAACAACATAATGTTTTTATTACACAGCTCCAAGTGGTCAAAAAGAAGAAAAAAATAAAACGATCCCTTTTTTTTTGGCATCTGCAGTAAGGAAGGGGTGACCTCTGCAGTCTGCTCCAGACAGGAAGAGAAAGTTAGTTGGTTCCCAGGGGAGAACCGGGGGCCCCGGGGGTGGGACAACAGCACTACGGAGGAGGGAAGTGAAAGAGACTGGTGGGATTTGTCAGGAGCCACCTCATATCATGCTGTGTTCTCACCAGGCTGTACAAGTGACCAAAGCTGGGGGGGATTGGGCCGGGGACGTAGTTCAGTGGCTGAGCCTTGGCTATCCTGCATGAGGTCCTGGGTTTGATTCCCAGCACTGGAAAAAGGAGGAGGAGGAGGAGGAGGAGGAGGAGGAGGAGGAGGAGGAGGAAGGGAGAGGAGGAAGAAGCAGAAAAGTGGCCCTTCAAATAAGGTCTTTAGGCGGCTGGGGATGATCAGAGCAGAGTCTGAAACTGGCATCTCTGCGTACTGGTAGATAGTGTACACAAGATATTGCACACGTGTGTGCGTGTGCTGTGTTTCTAAGAAAAAGAGTTCTATTTTTCATCAGTTTTCCAAAGAGTGAGGATGTCACGTGGACCTGTACAATGCCCACTCTAAACGGAACACCTATTTCTCAGATTTGTCGAACTACAGGTAGCAGGGCTGACCCCAGCAGATTGTAGAAGTGGCTGATGTTTATTGCTGTGCTCAGCTTGTCTGCCCGGAGCTCCCAATCACACTTCCCCATGCTCAGATGGCCTGAGCACAGTGAACTGTCACCAGCTCTGGCTTCCACTCCACTCTAGCCTTTCGTCCTCTGTGCAAGCACAGGGTCCTCTTTGTTTCTCTACATCTCTGATCTTCCCTTCGGCCCTTGTGCTCCCAAACTTGCATCCATTTTGTCCATCTCTACCAGGGTCCAGTGCCCTGCCCTTGACCAACCACAAAGTTCAGTGATTATGATGTCAGTCTTGAGAAACCTTTGTTAGGCTCCTGGCTATTGGTTCCCACCCTGATTTGTCATTCACAGTATTCTAAGCTGGGAGCAGAGTCCAGGACTGTCTTGACATCAAGTTTCATGAAGTTCATGGAGATGATATCCTTTTAGGGAAACCAATAGCATTTAGCTACATGCATGCATAGGGGAAGAAATCCCAATTACTCCCATTTATGATGCATGCTTTAATTTCCATAAATATTTTTTAACGTATTTGATACAGGGTCTCACTATGCACCTTGTACTCAGGGTGATCCCCATTTTCAGCTTTCCTAATGCTGGGATTATAGGCATGTGCCACCACGCCCAGCCTTGGTGGCTGCTCAGTGCACCCAGGGGTGCGCAGTGTGGAATGTGGTACTGGGGATCGAACCCTGGTCCTTGTGCTTGTCTAAGCAGACACTTAATCTGCTGAGTAATCTCACCAGCCCCAATTTCCATGTAATATCTACTACAAGATATGTAGATAACTATATGTGTCAGTCACCCTTCCTCCAAAGTTGACCTCTACTCAGTGTATTCAGCCTTGAATGTTTGCAGACCCTGTGGCAAGACAGTATGCTTTCATTTTAGGGGAGGGTAATCATTCCTAAAGAATGTGGCTTAGAGCTGGCCAGAAAGCTTAGTGAACTAAAGTGCCTGCTTAGGCAGAGCACAGCACCATGAGTTTGATTCCCAGTGTGGGGGCTGGCCCTGCCCCCAGAGTGCACTGAGACACTGGGCATGGTGGCACAAGCCCGTAATCCCAGCACTTGGGAGGCTGAACACAGGAGGATCACAAGTCCAATCTACATAGTGAGACCCTGTAGACCCTGTACTAAATACATTTTTTAAAAAAAAGAATGTGGCTTAGATGTGGAAGCAAGGAAAGGAATAGGGGCCTGACAGGTTGGGGCCTCTGCATCTCTCCTATCCTTAGGAGGTCCATTTCCTTCTCTGGGCTTCCCTTCTTTCCACAGAGGAAAGCCCTGGATACTGGCTCCCCCACCCCCCAAGCTGTAGTTCCCTTCCTTGTTCTCTAAACAAAACATGTAAATGCCCAATGTACAAAGCAGGTAGAAGGGCAGCTGCCTCAGGGGGGTTCTGAGGTATGGTCCCAGAATCTCCAGGCTCAGGTTCAGCCTATGATGTATGGCTTTGTAAGAATGCAGCAGGACTAGCAACTGCCCCTATGCAGCTCTCATAGCCTTGGAGGGAAGGCTCAGAATAATACCTGCATATGGAACCCAGCTCTAGGAGCATTCCTAGTACAGCTGGAGGTTAACCTGAAGGCCCTTGCAAAACCAGGTAGAGGGAAACATTTCATGCTAAATGTCTGACCATAGTGGTTAGGATGTATACTTGGAGTTCCTTCATATTAAAAACAGTAAGTTCAATCCAAGGGATTTTTTTCCCCCTCAAATCAGCCTCTCCAGACTTGGTAAAAACAAAATAAATTGACTGTTATGCCTCAATTTCAAAAGAGGCAGTTTTGGAAACTGTGGTTCCCCAAGCTCCAAAATACTAAGCCATTTGTCCTAATGACACAGCAGACTCTGAACTCTCGAATACCACAGGAATATCACACCACTGCAAATTACTGGGGGTGCTGAGTCTTCAAAAAAAAGGAAGTGAAACAAAAGCACTGCACTGTTTTCGAGATGTGGACTGGATATGCACATATGGGATGGTTTTTGAGATTATTTTCCTGGAGGCAGAATTATTCAGCAGTTACACAGCCCTTAAGTTTCCCCTTTGTTGTATCTATCTATGTATAAACACACAGCCCCTATAGCAGGCTCTCTTCTCTCTCACTGAAGCTTCCAAACACAAGGCCTTTTTGTATAAGTAAGTGCAGGGTCGGTCAACCTTACAAAAGGAGTCATTTAATGCTCAATTTTCCCACTTTCCTATGATTAAAAACTTCTAATCTCAAATGCCCTTATTGTATTCTAGATTGTTTTCTTTTCCCCTACCCCCAACAAATGTTTAAACTGTCTCTACTGTTGCCCCCCTTTTTTCAATCTGACCTTGAAAACTGAGACACTCTCCTCGCTTACATACCCTCAACTATTTTAAAATCAAGGCCCTTTGACCCTTGTACAACACATCTTTTGCCTGCCACACCAAATGCGATGCTAAAAGCCAATAGGAAGTAAAGAGTCTGGGGGGGGGGGTACTCATATTTGGCATCAGCTCAGAAATTCAGAAAATGTTTGTACAACCACTAACCATGAGGATCCCTACCTCCACCCCACCCTACCGCCTTCTAGCACATTAATAAAAAAGGACGTGAGTAGATGAAATAGGAGAGTCTGGGAGGGACAGCTAAGGCGGTCACAACTGTACACCCAGGAAGCCCAATGTCCACTGTACCACATATCCATCCTTATGGCTCCCTTCCCAAATCCAAAGTTTAGGATCCTGACTTTTCGACTCCCAGCCCCACCCCAGAGGTGGCCAGTTATAATGGCAAGAACATAGCCCTCCTGCCCGTTATGGCTTGGCAGAGGCGCAGGGAACAACCATCACAGCCCCTGCACGTCGAGGTGGCAGCTCTGTGCACCTAAGAATCAAATATGCTCTTAAAAAAAAGAAAAAGTACAAAAAGGAAAAAAAAAAAAAAAAAAAAAAAACAGTACAACGAGCGCACAAGCCTGGAATACATTAACTGGTGAACTGAATCCAACACACCCCAAGAGAATCCACCGCTCTCTCCAACAAAAGGGGGGCGGGAGGAGGCACTTTACCATCCTGTCCTGAGCTCTCCAGATACTCGGTCAGGTCACAGCCAAACGCGCTGGCGGCTCCCTTGCGTTTCACCTTCTGCTTGGCACCCTTGTTCTTCATGAGGTAGTCCCGCAGAGGCTGCCTCGGTGCCCCTCCTCTGCGCGGCTCCGCTGACGGCGGGCTCGGGTCGGTCACCGGCAGCGGCGCGGCGCCGGGCTCCGCATGGGCGAGGGCGCCCGCTCGCTCGGGAGTGTCACTTCCTTCCCGGCGTCCTGGGACTCTCCCAGCTCCTGCGGGGACTCGCGCGCGGGTCCTCGCTCCGCAGGGAGGCCGAGCTCTGCTCGTGCCCGGGGGCGCGGACACAGCCCCGGGGCCGCGAGGGGTCCTCCGCCCAGGGCCCGCGGTCTGGCCTTCAGACGGCTCTGCAAGAGCGAAAAACAAGCATCCTGTCTCCCGTGCCCGCCCTCGCGCCTTCCTTTTTTTCCTGCCTTACAAATCCTAGGATCATCCAGCTCAGGAAACGCTGGAAGGAAGTTAGCTAGGGAGGGGGGCGGAGGGTGGAAATTTTTGGCAGCTCCGCGCCTCTGTGCGCGCGGGGCCGGAGGAAGTAGGTGGGTGGGTAGCCGAGCGCAGCGGGGAGAGAAGGCGCCCTCCCGAGGGCCGGCCGCGACGCCCGCGCTCTCCGGGGCGGCCCAGAGGAAGTCGCCGCGCTCCCGGCCGGCCGCCCCGCGCTCGGAGCCGCCCCGGAGGAGGTGCCGGCGTCCTCGGGGAGGGGCGTGGGGCTCCCGAGTGCGGCCCGAGGCTCAGCCCCCGGTCACTGGGTCTCTGACACTATTTCAGTGCCTGCCTTTTCCTTCCACGAACGCCTGGTGTCAGGGCAGAAACAAAGACTGGGACCCCCGCGGAGGAACCTGCGGGGCAGTGGGTTCACGCTGGCCACGCCCACTCAGCTCCCCCGACCCGGCACCCCTAAGACCCTCCCTTCTCACCCTCAGCCAACCGAGGCGGGCGGGAAGTCAGATTTCCAGTTATGGGTCCAAGGGCATGACCCCAGCGCAGGCACCAACCATCGCTGCTGATGTAAATGTTGGGGTGTGTGTGGCGGGATTAAGCCTCCCGTAGTTCAGCGTAATGTGGAGAAGGTCGTCTCCGGATTGTTTCATAACTTGTCTCAAGTTATTCTGGAGGACTTGTTTTCCTTCTTCAGTTAGATTTGAAATTCTTTGACTTCTGAGTACTCAGCATGCAGTAAGCACTCGAAACTCTTATGATTTAACTGTTTGAGGATTAGATTAAATTTCTCATATAAATTCAAATCCATATATAGGCTTGCAGCCTGGGGATGTATACACAGCTCAGGTTGCTGGCAAAAGCTGTATGTACAGTGCTTTGGTTAGTTGCCGAATCCCTTCATAGTCATGTACGTATTGCCACGACAGTTTATGAACTTTGACCCCTGGCCTTTCTGTATTTGGGTCACAACCTGATGGCCACCCTACTGGATCTGGCGTGCAGATGCATTTAGATGGTTTGCCACAAGCTATGGTTTACTATTCTTTTCAATTAGTAGCCAACATCACGCTCAAGAGACTTTTCCATAAGAGGTCTGGATTTCTGCCTTCTCTTGCAAGAACAGAAGATCGGGTTATACAGAAAGTGCTTTCCCACTTGGCAAGGGCCATTACTGCCGAGTCAGGATGGCCCCATGGTGGGGTACCCTCTTTGAGGCAAACCCTCTGCCTTTGCAGCCCCAGTTTCCTATCTTTCCCCCTTTGCACCTTGCTGGCTCCTAAACCCACTTGATTTGCACCCTAAACCCTAAGCTCTCTATATAATAGTCTCTCCTCCCTTCCATTTTTCTGTCTGTCTCAGTAACACCAGCATTACCCAAACCATCTTGGCCAGACGTCTTCAAGTAACCACTGACTCATCGCTCCTCCATGCCAGTCCTGACCAGATGATGAGTGCTTCAAAATGCCTCTCAGCTGGGGTTCTTCTTTCCCAGGCCCACTGGAAAAGATCATCTACTCCTCAATTATTAGAATTCCTAGTGGGACTGGCTGAGGGCAGTCTCCTCCCACCTCAGCTGTTCTGCACACAAGAGGACTGGGTTGTCTTCCTGAAGTATGGCTGTTGACACATGCCCAGTCACTTGAAATCCTTCAGTGAGCAAGGCATGGTGCACACGCCTGTAATCCCAGCACTCAGGAGGCTGAGGCAGGAGGATTGCTGTGAGTGTGAGGCCAACCTGGGATACAATATGAGTTCAAAGCTAGCCTGGTCAACTTTCAGTGACTTCATCTCCTAGTGCCATGGCAACAATTTCTAGCGTTCTGTGAGCTGCTAATTTCTTAGATGCAAGGTTTTATGGAAATAGTGGAGGAATGTTAACTCAAGGAGTAAATGAGGTATTTGGTGATATTGTAAATGAGGCCAAAAGCACCTTCCTTGCAGGGAGACACCGTGGAAGGATTTTGTGGTTGCATACAGTCCTGCTGATCTGTACCTGTTGAGGAATGATACCTGTCAAAGTGTGCCATTGGCCTCCTTCTTCACCAAGGATGCTAGAGTCGCCTTTGCTATCCACAGGTGTAGAAGACAGAGGGTAGCACTCGGAGGTTTTAATGTCACCTGTGATCTTTTACCCACTTTATCCATAAAATGAGACTCAGCTATCAGCAATTTCTGCATTTTCCCTTCTCTCTCTTAAGAGGAGAAACTGATTAAATGTTCTTATGGGATTCTCCACCCAGGGTTTGTGATGAGCATGTTCTAATCCCATGTCCCAGGGCGATAGAGTGGTAGCTCATTCTCTGGCTGAGTATTTCCTCCCTCCCCCCACTCCTGTTGCACACCAGCTTCCCCCAGTTTGAAAGTGTCTGTGTGGTAACCCCTGCTGAAAGGATGAGGATGACCAGAGCAAAGGGGCTTCTAAAAAGCTGTGCATTCCAAGCTCCAGTACTGCAGTTCTCTGTGTCTGGATCCTTCAATTTAGGTGATGTTGAAAAAGTTTACTTCCAAGTGTGTAAATGAAATTGAATAATATTCCTTAGGAGCTGAAGCAGGTAGAAGGACCACATTACCACTCCCTCATCAAATACAACTGAGTGGGGCTGGGGAGATAGCTCAGTAGAATAAGTGCTTTCCTGGCAAGCGCAGGGTCCTGAGTTCAATCCCTGGTACCACAAAAAAAAAAAAAAAAAAAAAAAAAAAAAAAAACTGAGTGAAAGGAGGTCAACATGATGGGAAGGAAGGAACTCAAACCTGAATCAGTCTCCTACTCTGAGACCCCATTACTCTACCATCTCTGCCAGAAAGAAAGCCAGTGTTGCTTCTTAAAGGGCTTAAAGGGCAAGCAGGTGCAGTGATAAGAATGGGGAGGTAGGGTTGGTTGACCTAGGTTTGTAATGCCCACACTCAGGAAGCTGAGGTAGGAAGACCAAGAGTTCCAGGCCAACCTGGGCTACATAGCATGTTTAAAGCCAAAATAGACTACATAGAAAGCCCCTATCAGAAGGGGATTTTGTTTGTTTTATATATTTGGTTGTTATAGGGTCTCACTATGCAGCCCAGGCTCTTAGTGATCCTCCTGTTTTCAGCCTCCTCAGTGCTGGGGTTACAGGCCTGCACCACCATGCCTTGACTTCATGGCCCAGTTCTGGCATGGCATGTGGTACGGGGGATCCAGTCCCTGGTACCTGCACCTGCCAAAGCAGGCATTTAGTCCACTGAGCTATCTCGCCTACCTAAGAAGAAGGGGACTTTAAATGAACACTCTCAGACTAAAAGTTGAAGAACAAACTTAGCCGTTATATGGTCTTCTTTCTCACTATACATTTTAATTCCTTTTCAGTTACTGAATTTGTAGAACTGCATTGACCAATGAGAGAGAGGCTGGTATACATCCTCCTATCCACATCTCAGAATACAATTTGGTTCTAGAGAATAGTAAGTGTAAAAACCTTTTTTTTTTTTTTTTGAAAGATAAAACATACTTTTTCACATATCAGCAATATGAGAGTAAAGAACAGGAGGAGATGTGATTTGATAGTATGGAATATAGTACTTAGTGGAAACTGGAAGGGTAGGATTAGAGATGAGACATCACATATAATATTTCAAATTATTGAGAAAAAAATTCTCCACTAATATTTTAGTTGTACTCTAATTTTTTTTGTGGCTAAATACCGTATTGCTAGAAAAAGAGATCTCCTATGTTTTAGTGAATATTTTTAAAGATCATAATGATATTTGATCCATATGCATAGTTTTGGCATTGAAAGACTCCTCAGGATTTCAGAAGCAATGATCAAACCAGATAGCAAAGGGCCCCCTTGTCCCACCACCCCATGGGTCCTGGATCTGCCAAACAGCAGCGGGACACTTCCTTCCTAGAGCCACATGTGAAAAAGGGACTTCACAAGACCAGAGAGAGAGCCAAGTACCCTGGGTTGAATTACTATTATACCCACATCTGAATCTACTCAGCCTCTAGCCTCAGGCTCTAAGCCTGAATTTGGATCCTTTTGTCTTGGGGCCTCTGTTCTGGCTGTTTGTACTGGCTGCAGCCTCCAGGGCCTGGTAGGATCTGCCCTAAGGACCTAGCCATAGGTTCTGGGTTCTTCTCAGCAGCTGGGTTTGAGAGGGTTTCTCTTGCCTATGTGCTATTGTTGGTGATCCCAAACTGGACAATGTTTTGGTAGAAAAACCTTCATTCATCAAAGAATATAGAAGTCCTCAAGACAGAGGTCACAAACCTACTTATTTCAATAACTTTGCTTTAGTTTTGTTACTTCGTTCTGCCTCTGCATCCCCTCTCATTGTGTACCAAGCCCACTTTGGGCACATCTCCTTTTTTCTAGCTTGAGGAAAGACAATCATAGGGGAGCGGAACTGACGTTCTGTCTCCATCTGTCTCCTTCCAGGGTGTCTGAACACTGCAGAAGGAGAGTTCTGAGGAGGGCACCGCCCCGTTCATTGTGTTCCATAGTTTCCTGTACACTGCCTGTAACCCTTTACCAATCTGCCAGGCGCCTTTAAACACAAAAGGGAGGAGGTGGGGGAAGGGAGTGTTGAGGAAAAACATCCCTATAAATAGCCCTCTTGAACAAAATTGTTTTCCCAATACACAGTTGTTGTTAGGCCTTGACTCCCTGTAATCTCTTTCTGCATTCTCCTCCCCTTCCACTTTGACCGCAGTTTCCAGGCCAGGCTTTCCTCCTGTGTCTGCTGTAGGAGATGTACACACTTAAAAGTTCTGAGCGCCACACACCCCTCCCAGCTCTGGACACGCAAAGGCCCCAGATTGACCTGGGGTTTGTGCCTGACTCTGTCAATCAATTGTTTCCTGACTATGGTTTGGGTTCATCCAATTTCTTGATGTCTCTTTTCCAGTTCCCCATCACTTTCCTTGTCCTATATAAACCTCATTCATAAGATTTTTGTGTTTACTCCATTTTTATTTATGCCTTACCCAGCTTGAAAGTGGTTTAAAATGATTTGCTTTATATTTATTATG